TCCCTGGGCACCGTTCCTGGATCGGCTGGTGGTGAGGGGAGACCAGCTTAGAGGGCAATCGACCTGGAATCGGCGATGCATCGCAAATAGATAGGCGATAGGCCCCTGGTGGCGAAACCGCAGGTTCCTGGGCGGGGTGGGCCATCAGGCCTGCTCCCCCCTGAGCGCATGCTCCCACCAACGTCGCCCCTGAGGTAAGGGCAGCTGCCCTGGGCATCGCTCCTGGACGAGTTGGTGGCGATGCGCGAAGCGCTAAGAGCACAGCCATCGTGCCACCCCGAGCGGAACGCCACACCGGGAACGGCAGGTCCTTTCCTGAGCACGGCGAGCCTCGGCCACGCAGAAGTTCCCCGACCCGGGCCGAAGGACCGGCCCGGAAACGAGAGCCCCTGCTGGCCCCGAAGTCGGAGGCGGCCAGGGGGGTCTGAACTCGCTGGGACCCCAGAAACTCAGCCAGGACGGGGGGTGATGCCAAATCCGCTCGAAATCGGTCCCCAGACCTCTCCCCGAATCCATCCCCAGCTCTGTTTTTCACTCTGGATCTTTCTGACGGTCTCGGGGCCCGAAGACGGCCCTGGGAGGCCGAAAGGAGCAAACCACATCCTCGGACCCAGAACATCGAACATCCTCCCGCCCTTCCTGCTGGCTGGAACCAGTGATGGGCCTGGACGGACTGGTGGCGACGCGCGAAGCGCAGTATAGTGGAGGCCTGGAGATGGGCACCAACACCAACACAGGAGGTTGCCTCCACAGGGGGTAAGCTGATCCTAAATTTTGGTGTTGGTGGTACTGGTTCGGCCACTTGAGAAGCCTGAGTATTACCACCATCACCGAGATCGGGAGCATCTCCCCTCGGTGAAGGCGCACCGCCGATCCCGGTGGTTGGTGCCCACCTCCAGGCCTCCGACGACAGCCTTCTCTGCACCCGCGGCTCCGGGGGACCGAGCGCCTGCTGCTGCGCCGCGTACGCGCTCAGCTTCGCGTTCGCGCCCGCCACGGTGCCCTCGCCGGCCTGCGGGGAGGGGCGGCTGGCCAGCGGTGAGGGGCCCCTCCAGCGGGATACGGCTTGTCGGCGGCGCGCCCACGGGGGGGAAGGGCGTTTTGAAGTTCGCGAATTTGCGGACGCTCGTGCACGTTTTCGGACGTCTTCCACAGGTCCGCGGAGCCCAGGGTGGTTTCCAGCGAACCAGCGACGGGAGTGCAACTCGGGTATTGCCGCAGAGGGGCAGGTACGGAGGAAGAACAGAGGAAGGAGGCCTCCATGGCTGCAACATGGGCGGCCAGGCCATGGAGCGAGATCTGAGCAGCGTCGAACTTGGCGAACGCCCGCCCCAGGTCGCTCTTGCCACCGCGGGCCAGGCGAACTGCGATCATGCAGGGCCGCTCAGTGCAACTCCGCGCGCCCTCCTGGCAGGGTGAGACCGTCGCGCGCACGCCGGCCTCGGAGGGCGCGAGGCCAGGGGCATCCCCGAGGTCATCCAATGTAGCGCAACTTGCAAGTTGTTGCGCCAGCGTGCGAACGGCGCGCTTCAGCCGCCAACGCCCCCGAGACCTGCCCGGCGCAAGCGCAGGGAGAGGCTCGAGCGCGGGGGCCGGAGGGCGCGGTCAGGGATCGCGGGGGAACTGCCCCTCGGACGCAGGAGTACCCCGAGACGGCGCGCGGAGAGAGCGGCGGGATCAAGAATCCAGAGAACATCGAGCACCCTGCCCAACCTGGCCCACGCAGTAGCCCAAATGGCGACATCGACGCCCGCGCCTGGGATTGGGCGCAGCAAGGCAGAGAAGCCAGCGACAAAAGGCGCGGCCATGGCAGAAGCAGGAGCGGCGGTCGAGGCGGCGGGCGACGACCCAGTGCTCGAGCCGCTGGGGCAAGGAGGACCCGCAAGCCCCGGCGGAGCCTGTGGGGGGCCCGAATCTGACGAAGATTTCGAGGCGAAGCCACCAGTGGCGCGACAGCATCGCTGGAATAGCACATCCTTGCAGTCGCGAATCCGGTCAGCCCTGGCGCGACATCGTTGAGTTGATGGACTCGTCGTGACTCCTGCCGTCGGTAACTGTGCGCAAAATTCGCGTGCCCTCCAAACACGCCCCGCTGGCCTCCTCGCCGTGACTTTTGAAGGGGCCGTGTTCCCTCTGGGCTTTGCCTGGGACGGCCGCGCGGGCCCTGGCGGTGCCGTTGCATGTCCCGTCGTCCGCTCGGCCTCCCAGCGCGATCGGAAGAAGGCCATCTCCTTCGCGAGTTCGTCCTGCGCCGAAGGCCACGGGGGGTCCACCGACGAGGGGAAGGGCAACTGAGCCTTCTCTCCTCGTGGAGGCGGGTCGCCTGCACGGGCGGCGCTTCCAGCCCCGCGGGGAACTGCGCGGCCCCTGGATAGCCGCGGCCCCCCGCCTGTTGATCGATGAACGCGCACCGGCAACTCACCGCGGTCTCCGCCAAGCCCGCGCCCCCACTCTCGGCCGCGAGCTACGGCTCCGCGCTGCCATGCAATCTGCGCGATGATCTCGCGAGTCGCTGCGCGGCCCCCCAGCGGGCTGTGCTCGCGGAAGTACTGGGACATTGCTACGGGAGTGAGCGCGGATTGCTCTGCCCCCAGAGCACGTGCGAGGTTCGTCCTCAGAATGGACCGAACCTCTGGTCCGCGCTGCAGCAGTGCTTGCCGCCGCCCCCTGCGACGCGCGATGCCGCGCATCGAGGTTGCGGCAACCCCTCCCTCGGCCCCCGCGTGGGCGGCGGAGCGATGAGGGTCGCTGAGCGCCCCCTGCAGAGGATGCGTCGCCGCCCTCTGCGGCCCCGACCGCTGGAGAGACCTCCGCAGGCGCCGCGTCGCCAACTCCGGCGTGGCTTCGGGGGTGCTGCTCGCGCGGGGCCTGCCTCCCACGGCGCCCCCCTCGGCGAAGCCGCCGCCCCCGTCGGGCCGGGCACGCCGGGGGGGCGGGAGGCGGCGGCGGGGCCGAGGTCGGCGGGAGCGGCGGGCGCCAGCTCCCAAGCCCGCTCTTCCCCGAGGCTGCCACTGACGCGGAGGCTGGCGCGGCGGCGCGGCTCTGGACCCGCTGGGGGGGGGGAGGGGGCCACCGGGGTCAGCCTCGCCGGGGCATCTTCCGGGGGACGCCTGCGCGCGCCGCCCCGTCGGCGAGCAACCTGCGGCGCCTCGGGGCGGGCCCCCATGCAGGTGGGCGCGAGCCCCCCGGGCGGGGAGCCGTTGGCGGGGCCACGCGCGCAGCCAGCAGCCGTCGGACTTCCAGCAGGGCCTCCGCGCGGGCCGTCTGCGCTCCGTCGCTCAGAGCCGCGGCGACGCCGCCCCCCCGCCCGACCAGGGCTTCGGCCGCGCGCCCAGGCGGCCCGCGCCGGCACGGGAAGCACCTCCGGCAGAGGCGGGGCCCGCGCCGGTAGAGGAGGGCGATCCTCGGCTTCGGCGTCGTCCTCTGGGCCACCCCCTCGAATTCGTCCGCGGACTGGCACGGGGTGGCCCTCTCCGAGCACGGGGCAGCCTCGACCCCCTCGGCGGGCGCCGCACCATGGACGGCCACACAGCCATCGCGAACCCTCGCAGGGCGCGGCCAATGCACCCGCCCACGAGCCGACCCGAACGGGCCCAGCCCGCCGGCGCCTCCCTCGTCCAGGGGGGCGAGAGCCTCCAGATCCATCTTGGAGATCTCCAAACCGACCACCAAAACAATAAGAGCGGCGAGCCAGGGGGGGAAGTGAGAAGGGGCGTGCCTTCTCAAAGGCTCGGAAGTTCTCCGGACTTCTGAGAAGTTTTCTAAGCCTTCCCCGAAGACAGAAACAGCTCCTCAAAAGGCGCGAGGGCTTCTGCGAAGTCCCGCCGCCTTCTGAGAAGGCCTTCTCCTTCTCGATTCCCCCCTCGCTCGCCGCCGCAACAAGGGCAGAGCGGTCGTGCTCAGCGGGCGCGAAGCTGCGCCGAGCAAGGGCACGCTGAGCGCCGGATGCCCCTTGGCCGAGTGGCCAGAGGGATCGCGGCGTAGCCCAGCTCGTGCTCGTCCAGCCGCCAGCGATCGTAGCGAGTGTTTGATGGAGAGTGTGAGGGTGGAGGTCGGGCCAGACAAGCCCGTCGAGGATGGCGAGTCCCCCCGCCGCTGAAGCAGCGGCTGCCAGTGCTGGCGACGCGCGCGCTGGCCACGGGCGGGAGCAGCGAACGGGCTTGCGAAAGAGCCCGGGCGCGCTCCTCAGCCCGCGCTCTGGCCGTGGGCCAGGGCGCGCTGCGCGCCGCGACCGTTCCCGTCAGGGGCTCCCCTCGCGGCCCGCGCGCGGGGGAGGCCTGGCAAACCTCATCAACGGGCCGCGGAGGCCCCGGTGCAGCAGCCCCCCCAAAGGCTTCACTCGGCAGTGGGTTACCCCGCTGCTAAGATCTACCGCCAGCCGAGGCAGACGGTGGGGCAACCCGAACCCCGAGCGACAGGGTGGCAATGGCCTCCGAAGCCCGAATCGGCATGGGCGGACCACGGGGTCCGCGCAGAGGGGCCGCCGAAGTCCGCGAGAGTCGGAAGCGGCAGGTCCACGCGAACCGCTTGTAGAGCGCGGCTCGTTGGCCATGGAGGAGCAACGCACCTGTCGATGGCGGCCTGGGCGAGCGCCTGCACAAAGCACCCGCCCATGATAGCCACGCGAAGGCTTGAGCCGAGAAACAGAGAAATTGCAGAAACCCAGACGCGCGCGAGAGGGGATCATAACAGCAAACATGCCCTCATCAACTTCGCAACATGCTGGGCCACAAATCGAATCGCCAAACACGCTACTCTACACCTCATCCGCTCCCCCTCCATACTCCCCTCTCCTTAGAACCCATTCCTCTTCATCTTCCTCCTCCTGCTCCCCCACTCCCTCTCCCTCCCCCTCCTCCTCCTCCTCCTCCTCCTCCTTCAAATGTTATCGTCGTCGCCGTGGCAGGGCCATCGGCTGCTCAACGGGGCCCGCCACGGGGGCGGCCCGCCTGCAATCGATCCTGTGCGGCCCGCGCGCCCTCGTGCGCCAGCCGCAGCATCTGCCCCTTCGCCCTCAGCGCGTCCTCGGGGAGGGGGGATTGAATGGGAGGGCTCGGAAGGGGGAAGAAGACGAGAGTTTAGAGGAGGGAAAGGGAGAGGTGGATGACTAGGATCAGGGGAAGTACACGCAGGAAAAGGAGGAGGAGGAACGGAGGAGGAGGAGGAGGAGGCGGAGGAGGAGGAGGAGGAGGGAGGAGGAGGAGGGGAAGGCCGGGGAAGGTTCAGAGGGAGGAGCACGCTGGGATTCTGCAATTTAGGTCCTACACGCAGGTGGATGGCACTACGCGGGACGGCTCGCACGTCGCGAGCGAACGCTTACGTAATTGTTCCTGGATGTGGGGTGCTGTCCCTCCTGGCATACGCCGCATTCAAGCCGTGGACGTCCGAGTAAGCACCCCAAGGGACACGTTTAACGGTGTATCCACTGCAACGGAGCGAAGCAAAGGGGGGCATTGCAAAATGGATGAGTGACAACAAGACTCAACCATTTAGTATCGAAGGTCCCAACAACAACCGCATGCGATTGCCACGGAAATGAACACACAAATGCCACAAGGCATAGTGTAGTTACTGATTGAGCAGCGCTAGCAAATGTCAACACACAAACAATACAACCACCTACCCGCCCACACCTGGAACTTGAAAACCGCCGCGGGACACGCGGGACAGCGTCGTGTGCCTCCCGTGCCCCGCAGGGCCCGGGCCAAGCTAGCCTTCCTCGCCGCGCTGCTCACCCCCCACGCGCGGTTTCCCGTGGAAACGGGACCCGTCGCTAGTCCACGCCCCCTCGATCCATGCTTGCCATCGCTGAGATTGGGGGGCAATGTGCACCCTCTGAGCCGATCCCCCCGATGATCTTCGTCGTTTGGTTTTCGGGCCACAGCTCGGGTCTCCGGCGGCCTCTCGGGACGATTCGGGCACCCCCGGAAAGCTCTCGACGAGGCGCAGCTGAAGAAAACCATCCCATGCCTCGAACACAGTCGCGAACCGACGAGGACGTCGGCAAACCTCGAGCCCCCAAAACCCTGAGCCTGCCCCCCCCCCCTGGTCTCCCTCGGCCTCTCCCCCCCCCCGCCAAGCCCCCCCGCCCCCCTTCTGCCCCACTAAGCCCAAGCCCCCCTCTGCGCCACGCCGCGGCCGCCCCTGCAGCGCCCCGTGCCACGCCGCGCCCGCCGCCACCCGTCGCCGCCGCCGTCTGCCGCCACCCGTCGCCGCCGCCGTCCGTCGCCGTCCCCGCGGAGCGCCGCTGTCGCCACCGCCCGCCGCCATCGCCGTTCGCTCTCCGCCCGAGCCGCGCGCCGCCCGCCGCCGCCGCAGGGCCCGCCCGCGGGGCCTCGTGCGCGCCGGCGCGGAGCTGGTGCGCCTCGCGGGCCTCGCGGAGCCTGCTCGCGAAGCTGCTGTTGAGCGCCTCCAGGGCGCCGCGGACCTGCGGGCCAGGGCCGCTCCCGGCTTGAGCAGCGCTGAACCGATCCCCGTCCCCAGCGGCGTGGCCTGGGCCCCACTGGCCGATTTGCCCCCCCCCCCCCCCCCCCCCCCTCCCTAGATGGGGAGATAGGCCGCGCATCCCCAACTGGGATGCGGACGGGGATGGGGACGGATGGGGATGGGGATGGGGGTCGGATGGGACGCACAGAGACATACTAATACTATATGTCCTCCTGAGAGGCGCGCGGCCGACCCGAACATATAGTATACCCCTCTTAGTATATCGTTTCCCGAGCGGTGTGGCCAGAATGCGCCCGCCACGACGCATATACTATCAGATTTCTCGGTGCGCGCGTCGCCCCTGGGAGGGCGACGCACATATAGTATCAGTATGTTGGGGTGACGCCGATCGGATAAACGATACTGACATTTGAGACGAAACCACGACCGGAACAACAAATCGGGCCAGGATCGCTGAGCTCCGGCGGTCGATGCATCGGGCGCCGTGGCCGCTCCAGATCGCACCGGAACGCTCGGAGAGCGTTCCGGAGCGCTCTGCAAGGATTCCTGCGAGATCTAGCCTTCGTTCGGGCCTGTCCCTCTACAAGGGGGAAGGTTCAAAAATAACAGAAAAAACAATATGGGGACGACTCTTATTTTCTACCACGTTTCAGCATTTACGGGGCGTTTTTGGGGTATTCTTCATTTTCCGTGCAGGATCCTCACGTCGGGGGACATGCCCGACCTAAGCCTGGCCCCGCCCAGCCGGAGCCCGCAGGCTGCCCTGGGGTCAGGGGCAGCGCTCCAGCCCTGGCCGACGCGAGGCCCACGTGCGCGGGACCGCCCAGGGGTGAGCCGTGCATGAGGAGGGCGCGAGCAGAGCGCGGCGTGCACGAGGCAAAATCGGGGTCGCAGTGGCGGCATCTATCTGGCCACGGGTCACAGCAGTGGCCCACATTTCAATGGTCTGTGCCGTCTGCAATGCCGACTCTGCCTCATGCTTGTAATTACCTATACTTCGAACTCAGTTTCGCACTTGAGGGATTCACGGGATGGATGCAGGGAAGAGGAAGGAAGGTGTGGGAACACGGGGTGAGAGGAGGGAACCGAGGGTGAGTCACCGCGTGTTGGAGCGCAGGTGCCTGCGCGAGACCACCGTGGGAGAGGGACAAGGATGCACCTTAGCGCCTCCGCGGATTGCGGCGACGGACGCACGCGCGCCCTCCTCTAACGATCTGGCTTCGGATAACGCTCGTGAGAAGCGCGCGCCCCCCACCCCGCGAACTTGGCACCTCTCAGAGATATCTTCCTCCTAATCCTCCTCTGTTCCTCTGTTCCTCTGTTTCTCCATCTCCTCCTCCTTTTCCTCCTCCTCCTCCATCTCCTCCTCCATCTCCTCCTCCTCCTCCTCCTCCTCCTCCTCCTCCTCCTCCTCCTCCTCTACTCCTTTCCTCCATCGTAGACTTTGCTGGGCATGCGAGCGCAGGATAGACCGCGCGCCCCCAGCACTGGCCGCGGAAGCCCCCGCCGCAGCCTCGGCCTCCAGGGCGAACCATGCTGCTCCCCCTTCCCCGAAGGGAAGCACCTGTGCCACGCTGCCCAGCGATGGCCCAACGTGCGGTGCAGGGCGGCCCCCAGGCGCCCGCCGGCGGCCAGGCAAGCGACTGCAGAGGAGCCCGAGCGGCCCCGCCAACGGAACGTGTGAAGAAGCGGGCGAGCGGCCACTCCGGGGGTGCATGCCACCCTGAAGGATCGTTCGGGCCGCGCCTGAAAAACGCGTGGCAATGGTCAACTTTAACGTGACATTCAAACAAACCAACCGCACAAAAGATTGCACTCGTGGACATTTTGGACTTCCCCCAAGTGCCTGAACGAACACATCGCCGAGAAATTGTGGCACGATGAAGGTTCTCAAGGTGTCAAACTTTACATCGGGCTGGTCACTGTTTATACTTCAACGGCGCAGAGGGATAACCCTGAGGGGTCTTCAGTTTTGACCCCCCCAATGCTCTCGGCGATGATTAAACTGGTCCTCTCCTCCCTCCCGCCCTCCTCCTCCCTCCCTTCTCCTCCTCCTCCTCCTCCTCATCCTCCGAGGTTATCAGAAGTGTCTGTGATTCGGTCGTGGGCTGACGTCGAGTCTCCGTTCCCAGCAACAAAACAATGCAGCGGCAGGCCGCGGGCGCGGCGGGAGGGGCCGAGAGGGCCCAGTGGGAGCGAGAGCGGGCGGGGGGGGAGAGGGGCGGCGAGCAGGGACGGAAGGGCGACGCCGTGGAGGGGCGAGCATGGCGGAGGCGGGCATGCCCGATGGCATCGCGCGCCCTGCATGCAGGGACATCGGCTTGGGCCTCGGAGGATGCTCGCAGCGTCGAGGCCCCAAGGGAGCCCCATCCAGGCCCCAGGGTGACCCAAGAGGGGGCCGAGAGGGCGCCACTGGGCTGGGCATCCAGAAGAGTCCAAGACGGCCCAAGAGACCGAGTACGGCCCAAGACGGCCCAAACTGAAGAGGGCCTAAAAGGCGGTAGAAATCTGCTTGCAAGCCCGTCCTCCAGTCCCGTCTGGGAGCCCACGCAACGATCATGGACCCAGGGTTGGGCTCGGGTCCCTGCGTCAGCCGACTGAACTCGGGCGCACGACAAGGCAAAATGGAGAGATCTGTGCTTTACTTCGCTCTTTAGGGCCCCCCATCCGCCACCGTGCCCTTCGGCACGGAGTGGGCGTATCCTGATGTCCCGAGCCTCATCCTCTCAGCCTCAATCCTCGCTCCTGGGGGTCATCAGGGGGCAAACCCCAATTTGCAAAATCTCTTTAGGCCTGCCGCGTGCCCCCCAGGGGCCGTGGAGCTGCTCCCCGCGCGACTTGTTCGGCGCCACACGGGCCCCCCAAAGGGGCCAACAGGACCGAAAGAGACCCGTCGGACGGTCCAAGAGGGCACCAATCGCCGAACGATCGCCCCAAGTGGCCTTGGCCCGCGATGCTCGAAGCTGCTTATCGTTGGGCCTTTCGCTATGATAATTTCTGTGCTTTTCCTTGGCTATCAGGTGCAATGTAGTCCTCGCTTTGAAGAGGCGCGACGCTCCAAGACGGCCTGAGAAGTCTCAGCAAACGCCCCAACACGGCCCAACCAGGTCCCCAAGGCGGCCCAAAAAGGACCCAAGACGGCCCCTTGGCCCTGGGCTTCCTCTGATAAACACTGAGCATCCACCATTGCACAAGCACGCCTCCCAAGAACTCTGCTCGAAACTAATAGTCCGCTGGAAAGAAACCTCACAAAGAGCGGACACGTGTCTCCAGGTCAGGATGGTGAGACCTCTGAGGGATTATTGCTAACCTTGGAGGCTGAATCTGCAATACTTTGCGAATGCGATGCAAAAATCCGTCAGGAGTTACATGAAGAGGCGGATTGGCGTACCGCGATCAATGTGCGCAAAACTGTTGAGGATCAGACGCAACATAACAATATCGGAGGAAGAAAAGAACACATCTGATCCCATGCCAACACATCTACGCTATAGTTCTACGCCAAGTTCCAGAACCTGACTGGTGACTTCGAGAAGAGGCACCTAAAAAAGTC